TTTTTTTTTTTTTTTTTTTTTTTGGTACCGGGGATTGAACTTGGGTCCTTGTGCTTGCAAGGCAGGCCACCGAACCGCTGAGCTAAATCCCCGGCCCCAGCTCTTTTTTATCTTGAGAGAGGGTCTTCCTTAGTTGCCCATGCTAGGTTGGGACTTGTGATCCTCTAACTTCAGCCTCCCAGAGTGCTGAGATTATAGGCATGTACCACCACACTCAGCACATGATTTTTTTTCTTGAAATTAAAAAAATATTATTATAAACATCATAGAAAATAATTTTCTGACAAATACTTTTAATTGCTAAGATTTCCCTTTTTTTCAAATTTTAATTTTTATTAGTACATGTTTGCAGTCATGATTACATTTGTTGTGGGGAGTTGGTACATGTATATAACACATTTTAATTCTTTTTATTTCCATTTACTCTCTGCTCTCTCTCTTTTTTTTTTTTTGGAGACAGGGTCTCACTATGTAGTTGAGACTGACCTGGAACTCACTATGTAGCCCAGGCTGGTCTTAAACTCACAGTGATCCTCCTGCCTCAGCCTCCTAAGTGCTGGGATTACAAGCGTATACCACTATGCCTGACTTATCTGCTCATGTTTTTTTTTTTTTTGGTACTGGGGTTTGAACTCGGGTTCTTAAGCTTGCAAGGCAGGCCACGAACCACTGAGCTAAATCCCTGGCCCATCTCTGCTCATTTTTAATTGATAACAAGACCAAACAGCAAGGTTGCCTGTAATTTATAGTATAGAGTACCAGAAAAAAAATGTCTTTGAGTTTTCCTCCTTCCTCCCCCTTTCCCTTCTCTCTTTAGTGCTGGGGATTGAACTTAGGACCTTGTGCTTGCAAGGCAGGCACAGGGTCAACGAGCTCAATCCCCAGCCTCCACTGCCCTCCACCCCTGTTTTTTGTACTGGTGATCAAACTTAGGACTTTGCGCTTGTAAGGCAGGTGTTAAATCCCTGGCCCTCCAGCCCTTTTTGTTTTTTGTTTTTAAGGGCAGGGTCTTGCTATGTAGTCCAGGCTGGCCTTGAACTCATGGCAATCCTCCTGCTTTAGCCTCAGGAGTGCTAGGATTACAGGAATGCACCATTAGGCCCGACCTGTGTCTGTGTTTCTTGTGTTAAAATATTATAATTAAAATGACTTAATTCTGCTTACTCATACTCACCAAATTCTGTTGGACAACTTTTCTTAACATAATCTTTAATGTACAATACTGGTACTACTCTTTCTGTCTATATGTTTGATAATGTGTTCAGATCTTCTGCCTGTGTTTTAAGTTGACTTTTTATTGAATTGTAAGAGTTCTTTTTAGGGCTGGGGATTTAGCTTAGTGGTGCTGCCTGCCGCACAAACACAAGGTCCCAAGTTTGATCCCCAGAACGGCAAAAACAAAACAACAATGAAAGTTCTTTTTATATTGGAGTGCTTTGTCACATGGAAGTTTTGCATAAATTTTCTTCCAATCTGCCTACCCCCCTTTTTTTTTTCTTTATAAAATTATCTTTCAAAAAGCAAAAGTGGAGCTGGGGATTTAGATCAGTGGTTCTGCCACCAGACCCGAGTTCAATCCCTGGCATCAAAACAAACAAAAAAGCAAACATTAGGCCAGTTATGGTGGTGCACACTTGTAATCCCAGCACTCCAGAAGCTGAGGCTGGCAAGGAGGACTGCTGTGCATTCAGAGCCAGCCTGAACTATGTAGCCAGAGTCTGCCTCAGAAAGAAAAGATTATCCATTTTCCATTGAACTGGCTTCTTGGCATTGTTAGAATTTCAGTTGGCCATATGTGTGTGGATCCATTTTTGTTGTTTTTTTTTTGTTTGTTTGTGGTACCGGAGATCAAACTTGGGTCCTTGTGCTTGCGAGGCAGGCCACCGAACTGCTGAGCTAAATCCCTGGCCCATGTGGATCCATTTTTGAACTCTTTGTTTTCTCCTTTTTGTTCTACTTGCTGTTCTTTATGCTAGCATGACATTGTCTTAATGTTGAGAGCAGTGTTTGTTGTCATATTTACCTGTTTCTTAAACATTTTTCCTGGTTTTGGGAATTGAACTCAGGACCTTGTGCCTGTGCTGTGCCACTGACTTACATTCTCAGCCTTCTTAATTTCTTTTTTTTTTAAGCTTACATAGTCTGTATAAATAATGATTCCTTCATATACTGGTTAATTAGCAAGTAACATGCAGTAAAGACTTTGTATATGAAGTAGATAAAACTTTAAAATGTTCTAGTGAAGAGACAACCCACTTTCTGGGTGCCCCTGCCTGTCCCTCTCAGGCAGGAACTCTCTTTCCCTCAATAAAAATTTCTTATTCTTTAAAAAAAAAAATAGTTATTTTAGTGAAGCTTCTGAAAATATTGTCTTTGAGATTTGCTTTTGCAGTGGCAAAAAATTTAAGTTAGCTAGATCTTGCCTGCAGTAGTTATGATTTAAAGGTAGCAGGTGTTTAACAGATGTTAATTTGATCAGTACTTGATCTAAAAATCTCCTGGGCCAGGGATTTGACTCAGTGGTTCTGGCACCTGCCTTGCAAGCGCAAGGCCCGGAGTTTGATCCCTGGTACCAAAAAAAAAAAAACCAAACAAATCTTCTCCTTACAGTATGGATGTGGATAATGAAGCTAAGAAGCTATTAGGGTTGGGACAGAAACATCTGGTGATGGGAGATATTCCAGCGGCTGTCAATGCATTCCAGGAAGCAGCCAGTCTCTTGTAAGTACCTATGCTATTATATTGCCAGTATATTTATAAAGAGTTGTTTTAGCATAAAGCCCTGGGATAAACCTAAAAGACACAAATAAAACACTTCTGTTGGTGAAAGAGTGAAGAATAAGGATTGGAGGTATAACTTAGTGGTAGAATGATTGCCTTACAGGAGGCTTTGGGTTTGAGCCATAGCACTGCAACTACAACAAAAACCCCCGCAAAATGGTTCAGTTTTATTGTATAGGAGTCTATTCCCATAACTATGAAATTGCTGAGCGTGGGTTACCACACCCGGCCCAGATAATTTGTATTCTAATCCCATTATTTAGAGGAGTCTACTTCCCCTCATTTGTTCCATACATCCCAAGGCTTTGTTTTGTGGTATTAGGAATTAGAACCAGGTCCTTGTATATATATGCTAAGCAAACATTCTGCCACCAAGCCACATACCCCATACCCACTTTAAAAAAAATTTTGAGGTAGGGTTTCAGTAAGTTGCTTAGGCAAATCTGGGCATGGTATCAATCTGAGACAGAAGAATTGCCAAGAGTTGGAGGCCAGCCTGGGCTACGTGCATAGCCAGACCCTGTCTCAACACTTCCCACCCCACAAATTGCCTAGGCTAGCATTGAACCATGTAATCTTCTTTCCTCAGTCTCCTGAGTAGCTAGGGTTAAAGGTATCGGCCAGTGTCTTTTTTTTTCCTCTCTTCAGTGCTGGGGTGGAACCCAGGGCCTCACACATGTTAGGCAGATGATTTACTAAATTCAATGGGCCTTTTCCAGTTTAATACTGGAAGTTCCATGGCTGGGGAAATGGCTCAGTTTCAAGTAAGTCATGATAAGTGGTCATCCTACACTAATGCTATTATTAGCATAGGTTTTTTTTGTTTTGCTTTTTTCTTTTTTGAGACAGGGTTTCACTATGTAGTGGAGACTGACCTGGAACTCACTGTGAAGCCCAGGCTGGTCTCGAACTCAGCGATCCTCCTGCCTCTCAGCCTCCCGAGTGCTGGGATTACAGGCGTGCGCCATCGTGCCTGACTCAACAATTTTTAAAATAGTGTCTTTTATCTGCTGTTGTGACTGGTTGGAAGTCAATAGCTACCACAAGGTGGCCATAACTATATCTTGGTTGCACAGGTGAGTTTGAGTGCCTTAAAGATGTATTTTCACCAAAAACAAACAAACAAACAAAACAAGATTTATTTTCACAAAGACAGTTTGTGGTGTTGTGGATTGAACCCAGGGTCTTGTGCATGCTACTCAAGTGTTGTGCCATGTAGTTCCATCCTCCCCCAAAGACTGTTTCTTCAAATCTGAGAGAAAAAAGAATAACTTAAAACTTTAAGCAAGCAATAGCTTTGCTATAGAACTTTTGAGCCAGCTTCTAAGATGTACAATGGAAGGTCAATCGTGTTTCCTAATTAGTTGGTTACACTTCATTCAATTTATGCAAATAAATCTTAAGAATGAAACATTTATGGATATCGGGTTTGAAGCTCGCTTTTTCCTATCTCAGCTCCCTGTTATAACATCCAGAACAGTGTATTATTGATGGATATGTGTAATATACTGGCCTCTTTGTATACCCCTATCTGGGTTTGAATTGGGGCTCTGATATTAAGGAATGTGTAGGGGGTAGAGGTCAAATTTTATCTGGTAAATTTTTAGGTGTTTTGATGTATAAAATGATAAGTCAAGCTGGGTGTGGTGGCTCACGCCTGTAATCCCAGCGGGAGGCTGAGGCAGGAGGATCTCTGAGTTCAAGACCAGCCTGGGCTACATATTTCCAGGTCAGTCTCAACTACATAATGAGACCCTGTCTCAAAAGAAAAAAAAAGATGAGTTAAGGGACCGGGGATTTAGCTCAGTGGTTCCACTGCCTGCCTCACAAGCACAAGGTCCCGAGTTTAATCCCCAGTACCAAAAAAAAAAGGATGAGTTAAGATTAACCAAAAATAGGGCCAGGGATTTAGCCCAGTGGTTCTACCTCCTGCCTCTCAAGCGCAAGGACCCTAGTTCTATCCCTGGTACCAAAAAAAAAAAAAAATGCTTATTAGCTGCCCAGCCATGATCCTTTCATATAATTTGGCCCCTGGATTATATACTAATTAGAACAAATTGATGTTATTTAGAATATACATTATATATAGATGAGGAATCGTAACATTAATTTCATGCGTTGTTGATGTTAACTTGCAGTATTTTAGATTTACAAATTTTAGATGTTTATTCTGTTTATAGAGGTAAGAAGTATGGAGAAACAGCTAATGAGTGTGGAGAAGCCTTCTTTTTCTATGGGAAGTCACTTTTGGAACTGGCAAGGTATGTCTTTTAAGCCTTCTTGTGAGTGTTTGATTTTTAAGTAGAATGTTTTATCTCACTTTGATGTATTTACAAACTGAAGTTTGTTTGCTGTATGTTTACTAGTTTAGAATTTCACAAGAGCTGAGTGAGGCTGGTTTTGCCTACAAAGTGGGCATTGAGAGTGCATGAAATACTGATGGAGGTGGTGGATGATGCTTGATGCAAAGAACCGAAGTATTGAAGTTTTTACTTTTGGGGTCATTAGAAGCAGAAATCTTATGCTGGATGTGGTGGCACATGCCTGTAATCCCAGCATTTGGGAGGCTGAGGCAGGCGGATCGCTGTGATTTCGAGTCCAGCCTGGGCTACATAGTGAGTTCCAGGTCAGTGTCAACTACATAGTGAGACCCTGTCTCAAAAAAAAAGAAGCAGAAATCTTTTTATTTAGTGAATGGTCAGTAATTGATTAAAGTTGAGTATGGAGAGGTGAAGGAGAGGAGGAACCCTTAAATGTGTCATGAGCTAGCTAGCCTAAAGCAGTGACTTTCAATGAAGATTGGAGAACAAGTTGAAATAAGTAGCATGTGAGCATGTCTAGTAAACAGTACAAGTAGTCTTGCTATTGGAAACTATATTAATTGTCCAACAGAATAAAATATATTGAGGTGTGTAAACTAGCAAATGATCTTTATGCATTGATCTCTGTTCTAGTGGTCATTTGGAACATGCAGTTAACTTACAGTGAAAATTTGTGCTAGAATTTTTTTGAGTCTGCAGATATGGGGTGTAAATGCAGTTTGGAATATTATTTATCTATTTTTGGTACTAGGTGTTGAACTCACGGTTATTCTGTCACTGAGCTCCCTCAGCATGCATTCATTCATTCATTCAGACAGGGTCTGGTTGGTCTTGAGAACTCACTATATATGGGTTGGGGATTTAGCTCAGTGCTTCCGCTGCCTGCCTTGAAGCACAAGGACCTGAGTTTGATCCCCGTTACCCAAAAAACAAAAACAGAACTCAACTATGTAGCTGTCCTCAAACTCTTAAGTGATCCTCCCTCAGTCTGCATGCTGGGATTACAGGCATGCACCACCATACCTGGCCTTATTTATTTGGAGACAGCTGTCACTAAATCATTAAGTTGCCCAGGCTATGCTTGAACCTGTGATCCTGTTGCTTCAGGTTGCAGGGGAGCTGGGATAATAAGCGTCTGCCACCACACCCAGCTTATGTGGTTTTATATTATCTACACTTACTTTCCTCATGCTTTTATGGTACATTTTCTGCATGATTTATATATATTTATTTATTATTATTAAGTTCTGGATGTTAATATGATTGGTGCTTTTTCTTCACTTTATAGAATGGAGAATGGTGTGTTGGGAAATGCTTTGGAAGGTGTACGTGTGGAAGAAGAAAAAACAGAAGATGAATCTGTAGCAGAAAATAATGATAACATAGATGGTATGTGGGGTTGCATCTGATATTCAAAACATGTGACGTATACTTCTTATATACAGGTGATGGAAACAGGGCTCTGTTTCCTGCCCTGGCTAGTCTCACAGATGTTGATGGTGATACCTGCATCTAGTACAGACTGCAGTGGGGTAGGGTAGCCTATTATTGAACATAGGCTTTTGTAAGAGATTAATATAATCAAGGAAACCTTGTTATTTAAATAGGTGATTTAGATAATAATGCCTTTTTTTTGTTTTGTTTTGTTTTGTTTTGTTTTGTTTGCACCAGGGATCGAACCTGGGTCCTTGTGCTTGTGAGGCAGGCGGCGGAACCACTGAGCTAAATCCCTGGCCCAATACAATATTTTTTCATGCAAATTTTTAAATCAGTTTATGAAGCTCAGTTATGTTAATAATAGTACTTTTGGAGCACTGTTTTTGTTAAGAAAATTATTTCTAACCTGAGTTTAGCTACTAGAGTTTTACAAACCAGATGGATCTTTAATGCTTAAAGGAGAATGAAAAGCTTGACATCTCTTACCTAACTGGTAATCAGAATGCTCAAAGTAACAGGATACCTCGTTTATGGAGCTTGGGTTTCTTTTGCATAAGTTGCTCTGCTAGCTGGGACTCTTCCTTTGCTTTTCTCAAGGGGGCAGGTAATTTTTAGGCCATCTGCTAAAACTTAAGCCAGGCCATTTGAGGGTTTAAAGGGAATGTATTTTTAGTTTCCATGTATGCTGTTACCATTAAACTCGAAGACGTGTTTATGCTTCATGTTCTTTAACCATGTAGAGGAAGCAAGGGAAGAGTTGAGAGAACAGGTTTATGACGCCATGGGAGAAAACGAAGCTGCAAAAAAAACAGAAAGCAAGTCTCTGGCAAAGCCTGAAACTGATTTGGAACAGAAGCGTGAACTGGAGAAGGACGGAAGAGAAGATATGGATATAAGTGAGCCTACAGAGAAGCTAACAGTCGAATTGACTCCACATCAGCTGACTGAAACCTCTGAAGAGTCAAAAGGAACAGCAGGACCAGAAGGACGGGATGAAGCTGAGGTCACGACCAGGAACCCAGAACAGAAAGCTCCAGACACAGAGGAAGGAAAACCAGTTTTTGGAACTGACATCCAAAAAGAAGAATGTAGTGAAAGAGGTCAGGAGGAGCAGGAAGAGTTAATTGTGAGCACAAAGGAGAAGCCAAAAGAAAATTCGAAAGAGCAGCCCATTGTGACTCTGGAGAAGCAGGGAACTGCAGCGGAGATGGAGGTCGAAGCAGAGCCTGTAGAGCTGACAGTCACGCCAATGGATGTGGGTGGGGATGAGCCAGAGGGACAGGTAGCTGCCTCTGAAAATGAGCCAAGAAAGGCTTTGCAGGAGCAACTGGTAGGGCAAGAAGAGCTTTCTTTTGAAGAGTCACTAGTAGTGACAACGGAGGCCACTGAGGCCTTAGCTCCACAGTCTGGATCAGAAGTCTCTGAAAAGCCAGAGCAAGAAGCCACAGTTCTCCCTCAGGAAGGTCCAGTTAGTGGGCAAGCTGTAGGAGATGAGACTCCTGTTGAAGCACAGACTTCTGCAGAAACACTGACAGAAACAAAAGGTGACTTAGGTCTAGAGGATAAGGTCGGGGCAGAACTGGTTCCTAGCCAGGAGGAGATTGAGCTGCCTGTAGAAGAGTCTGAGGCAGCTGGAGATGGGGTTGAAACCAAAGTAGCCCAGAGGGCTACTGAGAAAGCACCTGAAGACAAAGTTAAGATAGCTGCTAATGAAGAGACCCAAGAGAGAGAAGAACAGATGAAAGAGGGTGAAGGTAACTGGGATATGCAAGAGCTGCAGTGGGTGGAGTACATTCTGGATTTTGACTCACTAATCATGGGTAAAAGTCAGCCTTCCATTCAGGATTTTCTGTCTGCCTTTGGATTAAGAAAGGGCTAAATGAAAATGGGGATGATTAAAAAGGTTGTGATAAGTAATTTCAATCAGAAGCAGAAAGTCTTAGCCAGCCTATAAACTAACGCTTTTACTAACTGCAAAATAGGTCTTTGGCTAGCTATCAGTAACTTTGCCATACTAGCCAATAAAGGGATGGAAAAAGTGGATGAGAGGGGTTGGGGTAGGTAAGAAAATAGTGGGCTAGGCTGGCAGAGAATGCTGAATGGATGTTCACTTGCATGCCTCTGGATTTTTGAATTTACTTTTCACATGGTTTCTCTTGTCTGCTTTAGGAAGCAGGAACAAAGAGCAGTAGAATCCAGTGAATTGGTACACTTAAGCAGGCATGCCATTTAAATGAAGACCATTAACTTTGGATCTTCTATCACCAGGGTTAAAGAATTCTGGTGCCTCTTTCTACTTTTAGTCTTCAGGAAATGTTTAGAGGCTTGTTCGCATTAGTTAAAACAGCACCCCTCCTTGCAAAAGAGAAAAGAAAAACTTAGCCATGAGTCTTTCTGCTGCTTTCCCTCCACATTTCATGCTTGCTTTGGCTGCTAAATTGAAAATTTTCATACTTTTTCATACATGTTATAAAGTATAGATGCTTTTTTGTCTCATTTTATTTCTCTAAATGCAATCCATCAAGATACATAAGCCTCTAATTAGTAATTGGCACGTCTGACTTAAGTTGTGCTATCATTTGAGGATTCTACTGTATACATAAGGTTCATCTAACTTTGGCATTAATAACAGGTATACTCCAGTTATTATTCTATGTAATTGCCAGACTACGTCAGTTTTCTTAAGTTAAAGTTTTTCAAAGGCCAATCTTTTTGATATGTGAACATTTTGGTAAACTACTTCTCTAACTGTGGGCAGGTCCCTGCACTCCAGCCAGTACAGGCATAGTAATTGGAGGTGAATTGGCTGAATGGTAGCACTGTTGGTCTGTTTCTTGAGTTGTAGAAGTTTATTGAGGACAAAGTACTCATAAAATCTTTTTTGGGGAGAGCTGAGGGTCAAGACTAGGACATCATTCATCATTGATCTACACTCTTTGCCCTCAGTCTGTGTCTTATTTTATTTACAATATTGGGGATTGAACCAGGGGCCTTTGCACTGAAGTGCATCCCTGGCCCTTTTTATTTTTAGACAGTCTTGCTAATTCACTGAATTTCCCAGGGCAGGATGAAACTTGTGGTCTTCTTGCCTCGGCCTCCTGGAGTGCTGGGATTGTTAATAAGCTGGCCAGGCTCTTGATGTTTAGTTTTTTTTTGTTTTGTTTTGTTTTGTTTCTTGGTACCAGGGATCCAACTTTAGACCTTGCACTTGTGAGGCAGGCAGCGGAACCACTGAGCTAAATCCCTGGCTGTCTTTGTTTGTTGGTTGGTTTTTTTTTTTGAGACAGGGTCTCACTATGTAGTTGAGACTGACCTGGAACGCACTATGTAGCCCAGGCTGGTCTTGAACCTGCTTCAGCCCTCGCCCCCAGTGCTGGGATTACAGGCGTGTGCCACCACGCCTGGCTTGGCCCTCTTGATCTTAATAATAATGAGCAAGGATTTTAAAAGCTCTGCTGATTCTCTTATATTGGACTTTGATAAGCTATAGTAGATATGTTATATTCTGTATATTGCTTTGAATTATAAAATAATATTTAGGTATATAAAACAGTACTTAATATAGATTAATACTTATAGTGAAGTTGAGCATTAAAGGTCATATGACCCTTATCATAGTTATAGTACTAAATCTGATCCTAGACCTACTGTCAATATATTATTCTTCATATGCTACATTATATTACTGAAGGCAGCTTTCTTTCTTTCTTTTTTTTTTTTTTTTTTTTTTTTTTTTTTTTTTGTGGGCAGTACCAGGGATCAAACTCAGGATCTTATGCTTGCCAGGCAGACACTGTACAGCTGAGCTACATCCCCATCTTCCTTAGTCTTTTTCTTTATCCATCCCTTATCAGAAATTTCTTGATCACATATTTGTTTTAAAATTATCTTTAAAAAATTACAAAATAAAAATTTCTCTAAACCTAGGCTGGTACAAGCCCCCTCCTCTGTTAGTCCCCAGGACCTTAGGCATGCTAGGCAAGCAGTATACCACTGAAAAACACCTAATCCTCCACATTTTAAGTGTTGGGAGTCTGAGGTAGGAGGATTGAAAGTTGGAGACTAGCCTGAGCAATTTAGTGATGTAGTGAGACTTTGTCTTAATTTTAAAAAGGGCTGGGAATGTGGCTCAGTGCAGAGGCCCTAGCTTCAACCTTTAGCATTGAAAAATAAAAGTTGTTTTATCAAGTTATTCAATGTAGAGTGCTTTATTAGTAGTTTATCTTTTAACCAGTTGACTTTCAAGTGTATATCAACAGGTGAAATAAATGGTGTCAAATGTGGCCACAAATTTAAAAGGAATCATTGAAATAACTAGTTTGGTCATTCAAATTCTGTATATGCTAGAGCTGGCTGGAGGCTGTGGCATGCCCATTCGTGAGCTTGGTCAGGAAAAAGCATTTTTTCCACAGCTTTGTTGTGGGAAAGCTAGTCCTTTGACAGATGTTCTTTTTTCTGAATGGACTAAGATAATTTTAACTTTTGGGCACTTTTTGAACGTGAGGTATTGTTTAATGTGTGGCATCTAAAGACAGTGGAAACACTGGCCAAGGTTATCTTTTTTTTGTCTAAGGGGGGGATATAAGCTTTACTCAAGGAATAAGCAGCAGTAGCAGCTAATCAGTCTCATTCTGAATAATCTATGTTGACTTTTACAAGAAAAACACAGCCTTGTAAAAAAGGCAAAACATTTATGTAAGAAGAGAAACCAGAGTATTTGCTCATCCTTTTCATTGCCACAGATCTGATCCATAGGTTATAGGCTCTAAATTAAGATAAAACTTGAATTTGAATGTAACCACTGTCTTTATGTTCAGATCAGGTGTTAACTGACTTGGATTAGTTTATAGCTGTCTTATCTCAGAATACAGGATGGCATATATTGTTGGAGTCTTTAGAGTAAGCAGATTATAGTTACATTTTCCATTCTGTGGAATTTTTGCTTGTAGAAACTGAAGGCTCAGAAGAAGAGGATAAAGAAAATGATAAGGCTGAAGAAACACCAAATGAATCCATTCTTGAAAACAAGGTAAGTTCAGTATTATCTGCTTTTTTAATTGTAGGACTTAGTAGTATAGGCATGGTGTCCTTTGGAGGGGGGTACCAGGGGTTGAACTCGAGTCCCTATGCTTGCAAGGCAGGCGTTTTTTTTGTTTTGTTTTGTTTTTTTCCTCCTTCTTTTTTGGTTTTTTGAGACAGGGTGTCACTATGTAGTTGAGACTGACCTGGAACTCACTGTGTAGCCCACGCTGGTCTCAAACTCACAGTGATCCTCCTGCCTCAGCCTTTCGAGTGCTGGGATTACAGGTGTGCGCCACCATGCCTGGTTTAGGCATGGTTTCTGAAGACGGATGGTTCTTGCTTAGATGTTGGGACCTTTTACTCATGCTTACAATAGACTGAGATGTTGGATCCCAGAGGGTCACATCTGTGAGGACAGTACTCACAGTACTCAACATAGTGCTTTTTACATTAAGGTGATGATTTAGAATAAAGCCTGAACCCCACCTGCACCCTCCAGCCTAGCTGAACTATACATTTACATTCTTAATCATTTGGATATGCTTTAGTCTCTTCAAGAAAGTGAAGAGGAGGACATTGGAAACCTAGAGCTTGCCTGGGATATGCTGGATTTAGCAAAGATAATTTTTAAAAGGTAAAACTTCGTGTTTCTACCTTCTAATTGGGAGTTTGGGGATTGAAAATTGAAAGCAGTTACAGTTAGAAAAGTGCTGTTTCTGATCAGCTTTTCTCCTTCTAGGCAAGAAACAAAAGAAGCCCAGCTTTATGCTGCACAGGCACATCTTAAACTTGGAGAAGTTAGTGTTGAATCTGGTAATGCTTATTCTTTTTTCCAGCTTCCCTCATACTCCATTTTCCCTTGTGAGAGATTTTTCTAGAGTCCACCTTGATTAATGATAGGTGGTTGGCTTTAAAACAACAGGTTTGACCTCTTCATGGTTCTCTAGAACAGTGATAATCTGAACATCTCAGTGGGTTGTTTTGTTTTTTGGTGCTGGGGATCAAAGTCAGGGCCTTGCACATCCATGTTTCAGCACATGCTCTGCTACTGAGCTATACTCCCCCAGGCCTTTGTAGTTTTTTTTTTTTTTTTTAAGTCATTTTATCATTTTGTCATTCTGTATAGCCAGGCATCCTGTAGATGCTAAGAGAGAGAGAGAGAGAGAGAGAGAGAGAGAGAGAGAGAGAAGAGAAGAAAGAAAAGAGAAAGAAAGAAAGGTAAACTAGGGAAGCATTCCTTAGAGGAAGTTTTGAGTCTTAAAAATACTTTTTGAAGCCCCCCTCCCCCAACATACTAGGGAGCCAATTCAGGACCTTGTGGTTGTGAGGCAGACGCAGTGCGACTGAGCTAAATCTCTGGCCCTCAATCGTTGTTGATTCTATTTTCACTAGAGAACTATATCCAGGCTGTGGAGGAGTTCCAGGCCTGCCTGGCCCTGCAGGAGCAGTACTTGGAAGCCCATGACCGTCTCCTTGCAGAGACTCACTACCAGCTGGGCTTGGCCTATGGATACAACTCTCAGTATGACGAGGCAGTGGCACAGTTTAGCAGATCTGTTGAAGTTATTGAAAAGAGAATGGGTGAGTGATTAGCAGCTGCTTCATGATAATGTTGATCCAGTAATGGAAAAGGTTAAAAATGGATACTTTTGTGGTAATTGTTACTGATTGCTTTCACTTATTCTTTGTAGCTGTACTAAACGAGCAGATGAAGGAGGCTGAAGGATCATCTACTGAATATGAGAAAGAAATTGAGGAGTTGAAAGAACTGCTACCAGAAATCAGAGAGAAGATAGAAGATGCAAAGGAGTCCCAACGTAGTGGAAATGTAGCTGAATTGGCACTGAAAGCTACTCTGGTTCGTTCACTTTCCCTTTTCTTTTGTACCAGGAATTGAACTCGGCCTCACACATGCCAGGCAGGCACTGCGCTGCTGAGCTATATTCCCAGCCCTGAGTTTCCTTTTAAAGTTTTTAAACAACATATTTGGTACTGTTAATGTTCTATATGCCTTAGAAATTTTGTCATGACTTGGTTTCCTTGGACGGAATGGGGAGTGCTTGTCTCATTATTCCTGTTGTAACAGACAGCAGGCTTTAGAACTGGCCTAGGTTTGAATTCCATCTGTGCTAGTGTGTGTGACCATAGGCATTCAGCTTTCTACCTCTGACTTATCTGTAAAATAGAAACGATAATACAATGTGTAAATTACTTTAGACAGTACCAGACAAATAGGAATTTCTTAATAAGTAGAAGCTATTGTTTCTGAGGATAGTACTGTATAGATTTGTGCTGCATTGAGGACTGACCCCAAGGTGGCCAGGCTGTGGCTGTTGGATGTGAGAAACTTTCTGTCTTGTAGTGAGGACATGGAAGATTTAGTTTATTTAATATCTTATTGGTATGGGTGTGGAAGATCTTGCTACCATAATGGAGGCCACTAGCACCAGGTCTTAGGTGCTTAGATGATGGGCACAGTACTTAAGACTGGGTGGCCTGGGTTCTGTGTTGGGACCTCCTTTGATTTGTCATCTCTCACACAGGTGGAGAGCTCTACTTCAGGTTTCACTCCTAGTAGGGGAGGCTCTTCAGTCTCCATGGTGGGTATTGAGGGGGTTTTTTTTGGTCATTTACTATTAGGCCTCACTGATAGTTTCTTATATTTTTACATTGCTGACAAAGGCTTCTTTTTTGCCAGATTGCCAGTCGAAGAACAACGGATGGTGCTTCCTCATCAAATTGTGTGACTGACATTTCCCACCTTGTCAGAAAGAAGGTAAAGCCTACATGTGGTTGTTTCTTTTTCTCAGTCTACCTCTTTTGGGGTCCCAAATAATACACAGAGAACACCTGTCCTTATAAACCCTCTTAATGATGTATATATAAAGGTAATGAGGATTTGGGAGTGAAGACAGCATTTCAGTATCTTACCTACCCATCAAACTCTTGTGGCTTTTTCCCAAAGATTGACCGGAAAGGTTCATCAGATGGGTGCATTTTAGGAAGCTGGAAGGTTTTCCTTGTCAGTATTCATTTAGCAGCAGGCCTGCTGATACTTAAACTCCCATGAGCTTCTACCTTCTGCCCATAATTCTGTAGTTATTTCCTGTTTGGGAGAGTCCACCCTCCTTTTTTGTTTCCTGCCTCAAATGTTTTACACTTTGATATTGTTCACAGTTCTACTTCTTACTGTATCCCACTGTGGCTCTGGTAGGGAGACTGAATCGATATATTGGGACCAACCAGTTTATTCTACAGGGTACAGGTTGGGACTTCCCTGTTTTGGCTAGGGACACTCTTGGAGCTGAGTCTTGGTGTTTAGGATCTTTGTACCACAGGGGTTATAGATGTTTTTGTTTTGTTTTTAAGACATGGTCTCACTATGTAGTTCAGGCTGGCCTCTCTCTTAAGCTGATCCTCCTGCCTCAGTCTCCCATGTGCTGGAATTACAGCCATGTGCCACCACTCCCAGTTTAAAAGTTGTCTTTTAAAAAATACTTAAGCACAAAAGCTGGGCGTGGTGGTGCACAGCTGTAATCCCAGCACTGGGAGGCTGAGGCAGGAGGATCACTGTGAGTTTGAGACCAGCCTGGGCTACATAGTGAGTTCCAGGTCATTCTCAACTACCCCCCGCCCAAATACTTAAGCACATTTGTGAAGCCTTCTTCACACTGTTATCTTCAGAGGAAACCAGAGGAAGAGAGTCCCCGGAAGGATGATGCAAAGAAAGCCAAACAAGAGCCGGAAGTGAATGGAGGCAGCGGGGATGCGGTCCCCAGTGGAAATGAAGTCTCGGGAAGCATGGAGGAGGAGGTGGGCAGTTAACGTGGATTTGGCCTCTTGCCTCATCCCCTTGTTCTCAGGGCTTGGGAAACCAGTCTTCCCATATGCGAACTCCCCATCTTTGAGCCTGTTTGGATTGCCCTCTCAGAACAATGGCTATGTAGATAACAGTTTGGTTACAGTACGGTAGATCGGTGTCTCTGTCGTGTATCACAGGTCCTCTAATGAGTGTATGAGAAGGCACTTGAGTCATTAGCAAGTCATTGCTGGCTCTTTTCCATGTAGTGTATGATTATTGGTTTGTCGTCCCTATTATAGCAATTACTCTGAGTAGAGGAAACAGCAAGGTGGGGCCTGTGTTCACTCTCTCTGCTTGCGTTCGATGGACTAATGTAAGCCAGGATCATTTATTTATGCCCAGGCTCCCTGTTTGTCTTCCAGGCTGAGAAACAGGCTGACAGCCGGGCCACAGTGGATGGGGCAGTGGAGGCTGGAGCTGCAGTTGAAACCACTGCATGTTAAGAAAGGGAGCAGAACCTTCCTCCCCGGGGAAAGTGTTTTTGTATATAATGTATTTTTTCACTTTTGGGATTCTTTTTGTATAACTTCAATAAAGATGGTAAGCAAAGGTTGAGGCTTTGATGGCTTTTTCTTAAATATTGGCTATATCTGTGCCTTGGGGCACTCTAGATTTTATAAAGTGGCCAAAATTGTGGTTTCATGTTTTGTCCCAGTGTATCTATTTCTCTGTTGGAAGTTGTAACCCCAGCTCCAGTCTTAACTGTGGAGGTGATGATTTGCAAGTGTGGGCTGTAGGCCCTTATCTCCCATCGGTGCTATATATCTACTCTCAAATACTTGACTGAACTCAGCAGTCTTGCGAACTTCAGTGGTGCCGTCTCTCTTTGGGGGCTATGCGCACAAGACTTGGATGATGGACTTTGTGAACCAGGCCTTGGGTGCTACTTGTCTTCTGTTCACCTTGTCTCCACCTAAGGGCCATTATCCTGTCCTGGAAAGAATTATGAAGAAAACCTGGGGGCAGGAGATCACTGAGGAAAAGTGTGTTTAATTGGAGAAATGAGCTCTCTGGGAAAGAGGCTGAGTGTGTTGGCACTTGCATGATTGGAAGAATCTGTGTGTGGGGGGCACGTGCACGCACACATACACACATATATATAATTTTTTCTTTTTCTGTAAAGAAAGGTTGAAATATATCAACACTTGGAATTATCTGTCTGCAAAAATAAAGATGCTAATAAAAGGTTCCTAGTCTGGAATTGTGCTTAAAGCCTTTATTGTGGGATCCTGGGCTGACTAGAGCATTTCATTCATTGTGTGATGTGAAGCTAAGCAGAAACTGGACCAGCAGTTCTGTATGTTCCATGTTGGTCAGGGCACTCATACTAATGCTGCCCGATTGGGCAGATGTCCAGGATACGGGCCCTGTGACATGAAAAGACCCTGAATGAGTCAGCCATCTCTATTAGAATTCATAGATCAGGCAGAATTTGGATGAGTTCCAAACAGTGCCTCCGTACTTGCTGTATATAGCAAAAGGTTGGAACCTATTTTAACAATTGTGTAGACAACAGTTGTGTTGAATTTGTCTTTTTCCGCTAACTCATGCCTGTACAATCTCTGACTTACTCTGAACTTCTTTTTTTTTTTTTTTTTTGGTGGTACTAGGGATCGATTTTGGGACCTTGAGCTTGCAAGGCAGGTGGCAGAATCACTGAGCTAAATCCCCAGCCCCTTTTCTTGGATTTTTGAGACAGCGTCTCAGTTCAGGTTGGCCTTGAACTCAGCAGGGTTTAAACCCATGTCTGGCTTGAACTTCCTTCTTAAAGATGCCTAGTTTTACATGTTCTGGGTCCTAAAAGGCTTTTTCTCCCCTCTTTTGGTGGGGTGTAGGATATACATGGTTGAACCCCAAGCCCTTGACCCAGTATGAAATTTCAGCATGTGACTGCCCACTTGGCTGGTACACTGGCTGAGGGCCTCTTTGGGAGCCCTAGGACCCATTCATGGGCACATCTTAAATTGAAGAGCCTCAATGAAAGGCTTCTGGGCAGAAGTGAAGTCTAAAGATGGGATTTGAATGAAGTTTGACAGTAAAGCTGGCTTCAGCAAAACAGTCACCTTTCAGAAAGATTGTCAGGCAGTGTTACATACGAGTCATTTAATCTTTTACAAAAGGAAAATAAGTGCAGTGGTTGGAGTTCACTTTATTTGCCTCCCTAGTTCTCATGTTATGTTAGAGCATAGGGTAAAGCTGCAGATTGGGGAATAAGTCTCACATTCACCTTGGCTCAGAAACCTGGTGGATCTGGGTCAGCTGTGACAGAAACTTCTCATTGTCCTTCATGGAGCCAAAGGCTCTGTAGGAAGTGGCGTTTCAGTAGAGCCAAATTTAGGTGTGCAGCCAGTGGCTTCCAGTGAAGATGAGCTGGATACCTGTGGAGCAGGAGAACGTTCTTTAACAAGAACTAGAAGTGAAGAGTGCAGGTTTTGGACTTTGAATTAATGAAACCAAAGGGTGAGGTTAACTTGGTTCACATTAAGTTCTTTATGTTAGGCTACTTATCTAGGAAATGTAAAGATCAAGTAAGTTAACACACAAAACATCTGGTAGTGATTTTTTTGTATAGTGGTTAATGAAAGCTGGCCACAGCTTGTATCTAGCTATAGTTGGGCCCTCACCAGTGGTGGGTACTGGTACTGGTGGGCACTTGCTGGATTGATCTCTGCCAGTACCTGGACAGCCGCATCTCTCGAATTTACCAGTCGTAGAAAGAGCTCAGCTTGGCCTGCCTGGGGAGACAGGTGTGCAGTGGCACCATCTGCACCTTGGAGCACATCCAGCTCCCACCCTCCATACTCACCTGGGGAATCCCATTCTGCTGCCCTAGGCTGAGGCTGGAGTCCAGAGGAAGAGCCCGAAGGGGGAGGCGCCAGTAGCCACTTAGTACCCGCAGATCTCGATCAAATAGTGGCAGTGAGGCCCAAGCCTTTGGCTGTGGTGTCCTAGCCCATGGGAGCCCCTGCCAGGCCTGTAGCTCACAGACCAAGGATGCCAAAGGGGATGGAGGCAGTCTGTAGAACAACCCCAAGAAGTGTCAGAAGCCAGAGCTGAAGTCCCTTCCTAGTAGGACTCGGCCCTTGGAACCATGGTCCCTGTATACATGTGAGAAAACTGCAAGAGGAAAGACTGAGCCTTAACAGGCTAAAAGCGCCAAAGTCATGAGCTCCACTTACTGACCTGGGTACAGGCTGCCTGCTAGCAAGGATGGCACAGTTGCCTGTGGGCCCCGGAGTTGAAGGCGAGGGTAAGCAAAGGGCTGGGGGCAATGCTGTGGTCCCTCCTGTATCCTGTCCGTTTCGAGTCAAGGCAGTCATTAGTTGCACCCAAATCCAAGAAGCCTCAAGTCCTCGCAGGAAGTCATAGAAAATGACCAGGCCAGCCCTGATGGACATAAGACTTCACACAACCACTAAACTCCTTTCACCCTCCCTCCCTCCACCCTGCAAATTCCCCAAACTTAGCTCTAGTGGGTCTCCCTAAGGGTCAGTAGTGGCCAAGTCAAAGAGGTTGTCCAAGGAGGGAGCAGGCCTCACCCAGGGTCATAGGGTGCAGGGCCAAGCACATCAGATGTGGGCAGAACATATGGGTCCAGGCCCAGGTTTCTGGTCATGGTTCCAGGAAGTAGTGGCTGTGGGGAAGAGTTGATTCCTCCAGAAAGCCTTCTAGCTGCATGTGCTCCCCCTGCACAGCACACAGCCGATCCTATGACACCCCATTCCCCTCCCCACCCTTGGGTTCTCACAACCTTTTCTGCGCCGCCCAAGAACTGGAAGTTTGTGGATCCCGGAAGTGATGGCAATGGGGGCGCTACTGGTGGAGGGAGGAGTGGGGCGTCTTTCCCCCTCAGGAGTCGTGGCTCCCCTGGGCCTAGGAACATTGTAAGAGTTAGGGCGTCCCAGCACTGGAGGGTGGGGGTAATTGAGCTAAGTCCCGGGGCTCATGCACAGATACGTGGATATGTGTATGGACTTGAACTGACAAACATGGGTCTCGTTCACCATGCAGGGTCCCTCCACCCTTCTGAGCTGACCCTGTGAGGATGGGCTAAGGTTGGGGTGCCCACTTACCCCGGGGCGCCTGGCCCAGGCCCCTCCGCTTCTGGAAGGCCAGGATTTCCGCCTCCAGGCGCTGGTTTTCCGCTTCCATGACCAGAAGCTGCCCCAAGGCAGCACCTGCCTTTTCTGAGACGAACAAATCTGACTTATCACTTCTGACCTCTGGTGACCAGCCAGGTAGGCCCTGGCCAAGCCTAGATTTAGCAATTCCGATTCTAGCTACAGTCACCCAGGTTTCCAGCCTCAGGGCTTTTGCTCAAGTGGCTCCCAGGCCGATGGGAACCCTCCTCCCGCCTTTTTCTCCGGGCTCGGCCCCTTCCTGTTCACCCCTGCGGCTCTGCGACCTCCGCAGCTCCAGCGCTGATGCCTCTGCTTGCAACTGCTGTATCTTGCTCAAAACGCCAGGGTCTCGGCCACCGCCTCGCATGTAAGCCTCGCGGAGGGCCCTAGGGAGTGTGTGTGTGGGGGGGGACAAAGTCTTAACAGGACTGATGAGCTCCGTCCCTATGGCTGTCCCGCGCTGTGGTCCTCACCCAATCTCAGCAGCCAGGCTCCCTGCATTAGCTTGCAGCAGAGGCCGTAAGAGCTCAGCTTCTGGCAGCGTGTTCGACTGGGTTCTGGCACAAGGAGACGATGTCACGGATCCCCATCGGCTGGTGATACCCCTCTGCCACGGCCGCGCTCTGCCAGGGCCTCACCCTATTTGGGGCTTAAGCTCTTGAACGCGTGCCCCAAACACCTCTAGAGCTCCTCTGGTCCGCCCCGCCTCAGCCCGAAGCTCTCGCAGCTCTCGTGTCAGGCCTAGGAGTTGGGGTAGCCTGCCCCGGACTCGGGCCAAACCTTGAAGGTGCCGGCTCAGTTCTGAGGGAGTAAGAGACACAGTCAAAATGACTGTGGCCTGCTAAGGAGAGGCGGAGCGGGTCCCTTGCTCCCCGTCCTCACCTGCGCTACGTTGTTCCAGGGCCCGGCCCTGTGCTTCAGTTTGCGCCCTGCGCCTGGTGTGAGTCCCTTGCAGTGCCCACAGCCGCTCGTGAGGGCTCCCCGCAGCCTCAGCCGAGGGGCCCTCTGCTACCTGGGGTCGCATTTCCTGCTGCGACAGCCGTAGCCACTGTACCTGGAGGTAACAGCGACCCATGGTCAGTGTGTTGCGGCGACATGCATGAGGGGAGAAGATTCCAAATTTGTAGCCCTGGGAATTAAGGGTGGGTGAGCGATTTACCTCCTCTCTTAACCTCTCTAGAGCACATTTGCTGACCCATGGTCAGTGTGTTGCGGCGACATGCATGAGGGGAGAAGATTCCAAATTTGTAGCCCTGGGAATTAAGGGTGGGTGAGCGATTTACCTCCTCTCTTAACCTCTCTAGAGCACATTTGCTGACCTCCTGGTCTGGGGGACCCTGGAGTTCTTGTGACACAGTCTAGGGACAGAGGTTAAGATGAAGAACCTGAGTCCAGGCTTGCTGGATTACCCACCCCCGGCCACAGGGGTGCAGGCCTTACCGCGATGCCCCCTGATTCAGTAGAGGGCTTTGCTCCAAGAGTCACTTCCCTGGTCAGGCGGCCAATGCAGAAGCGCTGAGTGTGGGTGGCCAACAGGGCCCAGGAGCGGAAAACCATGTCACAGGACCCACAGGGCAGGAGCACTGGCTCCCCAGGGTAGGCGGCCATGGGACTGAAAGCAGCCTAGTCCCGCAGAAGACACAGCAGACAGCCTGAGGAGTCTAGATTATGAGGTCCACAGGATCTTCAAGTTTTATGTTTGGGGAGGAGCCTTGGCTCCCTGGGCAGCAGCCACAGGCCCGGGCAGGTTAGAATGGGTGGGGAAGCTGTGCCAGTTCGGGAGAAAGCCAGGCTTGAAAAAGCCTAACGTCAGCGCCACCTCGGTTTCCTTGCCTCCCTACAAGGGGGAGCAAACAGATAGATGCCTTCTAGTCTAACTGGGACATTGGGACTTACTCCACCTCTGGTGGTTTAACAGCCTCTGACAGGCAAGGACCATCTTTCTCATGGCTGCATCCCAAAGCAGGTAACAACACAAGTCCAGGAACACGTGGGAGACGTGACATTCTGCCTAGACAACATCTTTCCCCAGAATAAAAGGTTCTTTTAACAACATGCCTCTCTTGAGGCGACCATAAATGTTTTCCCCTCTCCCATACTAGGGACTGAATGGAGCTTCATCTTGAGCCATTCATTCCTTTGAACCTAAGTTGCTTAGGCTGAGCTCAAAGCTGCACGTTTCGTATCTCAGTTTCTTAGAGCACTAGGATTACAGGCATGTACCACACCAGGCCTGGTGTGCACACCACTTCTGAACCCCGTCGCCCTAACTCCCATTCTGTCACTCCTGTTTTTTCAGCTGCAGATGGGGGATAATCAGCATAGCCCAAGCAGTTAGAACTGTCAGAGAACATAACCAATCCATTAGAGGAGGGAATCAAGTCTAGAAAGGAATCCCTCCCTTCTAATACAAGCAGCCTGGTCAAATTACCCTCCACACCCCCAAGTACCCACTACTGTCTAAACATGTATGTATCAAGTTATAAAGAGGGCTGGTCCCATATCTCAAAGAAGCTCCCTTTTCTACAGGAAACGGGGACCTAAAGTTATTTCCTCCCATATAATATACAAAGCCAAGGTAGGAGCAGAATCTCAGTTCATCTTAATTCTGAGACTGTTTTTAAAAATATGTTCTGAAAAAGCTAGTAAATGGCAAAGCCCAAATCTTAATTTCTCAAATTTGATACGTGTTTTTAGTTCATTGTATACTCCCCACCACCACCACTTTCCCGGGGATTGGGCCCTTGTGTTTGGGAGGTAGGCAGCAGCACCACTGAGCTAAATCCAGGCCCATATACTATTTCTTTTTTAAAGACAAAGTCTTAAAAAAAAAAAAGACAAATTCTCAACATGTAGCCTCGGTCTCCCAAGTGCTGGGGTTATATGTGTGGACTGCAATGTCCAGCTATTTCATTTATTGCAGGATGCATATTTCTCATATAACTGTGACACCAGGATTCACAATTAAACTGTTGTGACCGGCCAAGTTTTCTCTTATTAGCATATATATGTCGGGCTCGGGTTTTAGCTCAGTGGCTCTGCCGCCTGCCTTGCAAGTCTAAGGTCCTGAGTTCAATCCCCAATACCAAAAACAAAAACAAAGGAGCATATAAATGTCTGAAATACTGAAGCTGGATGTAGTGGCACATACCTGTAATCCCAGCACTTTGGGAGTTTGAGGCAGAAAGATGGCAATGTCAAGTCCTACCTGGACAACTCAGCGAGTTCCAGACTCAAAAACTTAAGGGGTTGGGAATGTAGCTCAGTGGCATACCATGGGTCTGATTCTCAGGACAACAAAAAAAGTCATCTTACACTCAACCACATATGATTATATATATAATTTTTGGGGGGTGGTAGTGGTATTGGGTCTTCAAATTGAGTTATATTCCCAACCCTTTTTGATTTTTTTGCTTTGACAAAGGGTCTTGCTAAAGTGCTAAGTTGCTGAGGGTCAGTTCAAACTTGCAATTCTCCTGCCTTAGCCTCTGAGGGTGTCGTGACTATAGTAAGTGTCCATCACACTTCTGCTTCAGTTAATTCTCTATGCTCTGTCTCAACTGTTATCACTGGTTTGTATATGGACTGCTATGCTGTAACACTGGCAGCAGGAACTATGCGTAGCATCAAAATGTCTTCTAGAAGTTATCTTTCTAACATGCAATAAGGGGCTAGGGATTTGGCTCAGTTTCCACTGCCTGCCTCACAAGTGCCAGGTCCCGAGTTCGATCCCTGGTACCAACCCCCCTGTCAAATACAACAAGGCCTAGAACTCATCAACTTATTTCCCAGTAGGATATACAGTAATCATAGTTACCTGTGTCTACTAGGGACAAACTAATGTAGGGAGAGCAAATATGTCAGTGTTCAGGGCCAGATATCCATTAACTTCTACATCAAATCTTTGGCCTAATGTTTCATCTTTTCTTTACATTTTAAAACTAAACTTTTTTTTTTCTGAAACACTATGAGCCTTGAACTTACAGCCTCCTTGTCTCAGCCTCCCCAGTGCTAGGATTATGGTTTCATCTTTTCTAATACAATTGTTTTATTCTCTCCTCTTCTGGACTGGTTACTTGTTGCATCCTGAGCCTTGCATAATGGCCTAGGACATGTGATAGTGGCTTGGGAAATACAGAATGAAATAACCTGCTTCCTCCACCAGCCATCTAGCCTGAACTGGCCCAAGTCTTTCCCCTTAAAGTTCTTATTTAGTAGATAAATTGAGGCAGAGACCTTTCTTAAAACACTTGCATTTGGAAACATGTACATACACAGATACTAAAATATGGGTGAAGGGACAAAAATTGAGTTTCTGATTATATTACTGATAATTTATTGCAAAGGACTTCTTTTCTTTTTTTCTTTTTTTTTTGGTACCGGGGTTTGAACTTAGGACTGTGCAAGGCAGGCACAGTGCCACTGAACTAAATCCCCCACCTTATTGCAAAGCATTTTCTGCATCAAGAAAGTATCTTCCAGGGCCAGGGATTCAGCTCAGTGGTTCTGCCACCTGCCTTGCAAGTACAAGGTCCTGAGTTTCATCCCTGGTATTAAAAAAAAAAAAAAAAAAAAAAAGTTATCTGCTAAGGCTGGGGACATGGCTCAGGGGTTGAGTGCTTGCCCAGCATTCCAGTGTGGGGTGTATAGCTCTGCTAAGATGAGAAACAGGAGTGTCTGAATACAGAGTTCTTCCAGACTTCTAAAAACACTTGCCCTAAAAAAAGAACCTACCCTTAATTTTATTTATTTATTTTTGGTACCGGGGATCAAACTTGGGACTGCACACTTGCAAGGCAGGTGGAGGAACCACTGAGCTAAATCCACGACCCCTTAATTTTAGAGAAAATATACTTTTTTTTCTTTTTGGTTTGAGTCAGGGTCTCACCATGTAGTCAAGCTGGCCTGGAACTTACAGTGATCATTTTGCCTCAGCCTTCCAAGTCCTCGGATTACAGGCAAGCACCACAAAATATACTTTGTACACAGGACAATCCAAAATGATGCAAAATATTTATTCCAAGTTAGTTATTTTATGCAGTAGTTTTTCCCCCTCAACAGACTTGTGATAACCACATCTTTTTAAATCTGTAAATAATGTTATCAAAATAATCTTAATATTTGAAATCTCACAAAAATTTATATTTTACAATCCACCCTGAATATCAAGGCTGCAAGAATAACACATTTCCTATATCCAAATATTTTACAGCTGTACCCAAAAAGGAAAACAAAAACAAAAACAAAAAACCATATGCTTGGTTAAGGGCTAAAGTTACCCGAGCAGCCAAAAATAAAATAAAATATCCAAATTATTAGCATTAATTTAATACAATTATAACTTCAATAGTCACTTTGTCATTGACAATGATTGCCTGAGCACAGGGGTGAGTGAGCGCCCCAGGGCTGGTAGTGGAAGCTGCTGCTGCTGCAGGACAGCACCAGCTCCTCTCCCTCTGCACTGCCAGCTCCCGCCTGTGCATTGCCCGTATGTTCTGCACATGTATTTTAAAATCTTTCCCACCACACAAACATCTCTATTAAGCAGGTAACAGGAAAGAACAATAACAAAAGCTCAACAAGCCAACTGCGCTCTCTTTGGGATATGATTATTTCCCTTGTGCATGAAGTATTCAACATAAGAAAAGGAAAAGGAAAACAGTAATTTCTTTTGTGTATTCCCGAAACAGACAAGCTGAGTTTACTGGTTCAGATGAACTGTGAACATTTCTGTGCCTACTTCCAGGCGTCATCATCTGATGTCTCACTACTACTTGTTTCCGTGTCTGAATCCTCAAACTCTGCTTTACAAGTGTTTCTCCAAGGGGAGAAGAGGCTCAAACTGCGGCTCTGCAAGAAGCCATTCTTTCCAAAGCCGTTTCTTCTCAGCTGCGGACAACATGGCAGAGAAAGAGAAAGGAAAACTCATCAATGACTACACTGGCACATGGAACTGGGCAAGGCCAGGCCTTGGTTTAGAAGGAGAATATTCAAACTTTCATGTGCAATGATCATCCAAGATTGTTCTGAAGGGCAGATTCCAATTCAGTACGAGATTTCCTGTTTCTACAAGAGACAGGAGTGGTTAGGTCATCCTGTACATTGTTCCTTTATCCAACATCAATTATATTTACTTATTTTTAAACAGGGTCTCACTATGTAGGTCATGCTGGCCTTGAAGTCGCAGCAATCCTCCTGCCTTAGCCTCCTGAGTGCTGGGATTACAGGTGTGCGCTGACACACCCGCCAATTATACTTTAAATATTTGCCTCCAGAACCGTCCGCTCAGTGGGCTCTGTAGAAACTTCGTTTATCTTGTTCACTGCCGTATACCCTATGATCTGGCAGCGTTTTTATTCAGAGAAAGAATCCAAGTTGTTTTTGGTATAGTACTGGGCCCTCAATTAGCTACCACCCCAGGTCTTTGTATTTTGAGATAGGTCCAGGCTAGATTCAAACTTACAATTCTCCTATCTCAGCCTCCTAAGTAGCTGGGATCACAGACATGCACCATCCCTGCTGGCTCAAGCATTTGTTGAATAAACTTTAGATAGGGCTTCTGAACTCTGCACTGGACAGAGTACCACACTACAGGGTCAGAAGTAGACGAAGGTACACTTCTCTTTCTTAAAGAATGAGAGCTCATAATTCTAGCACTTGGAAGGTTGAAGCAGGAGAATCTCCAAGAGTCTGAGGGCACCTGGACTACACAATGATTTCAAGGCCAGCCTAAACTACATAGAGACCCCCTGCCACAAAAAAACAAATGATTAAAAACAAAACAAAACAAAAAACCAAAGACTGAGAACTCAGACTGAGATCAGCCTTGCAGTTTTGATAAAGAGTGAGAGCTGTGAGGATGAGTATTTTACTTTCTGTAATATTGGCTAGTCATTGGCTTGGTTTGCTATCTACTAATGAAGATCCCTTATTGCCCAGGCAGAGCTCAGTGCCCTTTTATATTTGTTATGACAACTTACTTTATACTTTATTTTTCAAGGTCTTTTTCTTAAACTTCAGGACTTCCCAATGGCAAGCACTGTCCAGACCCCTTTCTCTCCTAACAGTTAAAGGAGGGTTTATGAGGTACCTGCTCTGTCTTCATGTGGAACTCTCTGAGTTCATCTTCCGTGAGTGGAAGGCAATTCTCATCATTTTCAGGATATTCCTGCCATCCCATTGCTTTCAATAACCTGATGGAGGCAGAAGGACAGGCAAAGAAAATATGACATTAATAAGTCCAAGTGGGAAACTCACCACTTTCCACAAAAAACTTTCCTATCCAGAGCAATAAATGTTAAGAGAAGGAACCCCCAACACACTTGCCATGGGACAACTTACTCAAGCACTCATAATTAAATGAGAGATCTCTACATTGAGAGAAAAGAGCTATTTGAAGAGACAGCAGAAGCAGAAAACATGTTAGTATAAAGAAAAGAATCAAAGGTGGGCGTGGTGGCGCATGCCTGTAATCCCAGCACTCGGGAGGCTGAGGCAGGAGGATTGCTGTGAGTTTGAGACCAGCCTGGGCTACACAGTGAGTTCTAGGTCAGTCTCAACTACATAGTGAGACCCTGTCTCAAAAAACTAAAAAAGAAAAGAACCAAACTACAGTGACTCTCAGGCTTATCAAAATAGAGGAAGAAATTTCACTTCTGCTCCCTGAGCAAGCATGTACTTAAGTTCTCTTTCAATTTCATGGAATTGTTGCTTCTGTTACAAACTTTCAAGTCCCTTTCAGGAAGGTACTGCCATACTTGGCAGGCCCCACTCACCATCCAGTGCCCAGAAGAATGGCTTCTCTGTG